TGCCGGCCCTGCAGGGAGCGGGCAGCTCCCAAGCCTGCTGCCTGACCGGCAGCTGCATCACTGTCAAGGAAGCGGGGAGGTTATTTTGGGAACCACGATGCTGGGAAAATCTGCTATGTCAATAGAGCGTGAGCTAAAGCACTTGTGGGTGGTGATTTGAAATGCCCCTTCTCCATGCCCAAATCCCTGGGCTTTGCCTCAGGAGCAGGCAGGAAGCATGGCTGGGGGGTAGCTCCAGCCTCGGTGCTCACTCCCCTGCTGGGAAGGTGTCCATGGCCATCCAGCATATCCCACGGCCCCCAAGCAATCTGACATATCGGCAGCGGTTGCCTCCAGCTTCCCATGATCTCTGCCGCCTTCCTCCAAGCCTGTCTGGAAACTCCCTGCTCCATCCCTGCACTTTGCTGTTTATCCTGGTCTGGTCCCTACTTTGACCAGGGTCCCCATCCCCTGTGCTGCCCTGTGCCCTCACGGCACAGCACGCCATGGCATGGGGATGGAGGCAGGTTTCCTCTCCGGCAGCAGCCCCATGCTGTTACCTTCTCCAGCAGCTCGTTAGCGCTGGCTGGGACCTGAGCAGGGGCTGCCGCAGCCAGCGGAAACATGGGTGGGCTGAGACGGGATTAGATGTGGTCAGGGAAATTCCAGCTGCCCCGTGCTAAGCACGGGGCTGCTCCAGCTCCAGGAAGCCCAAAGTGGTCACAACGTGCTGGCTCTCCTTAGCTGCTTCCTGCCCGAGTATCCGTTCCTGGCAGCTGCTGGACTGGGGCTGCCCTGGAGAGGTGGGTGAGGGGGGGGGATCTGGGCTGGGTGTCGGGCACCAAGGGCACCCCTGTGCACCCATGTGGGCTGGAGGGGGCAGGGAAGGGTTGGCAGCAGGCATCCCTGAATGAGTGGATGGGACAGGTTTGTACACTGCTTCCCGAACTCAGGGCTCCATCACCCTGTACCAGGGCTGCTGAGGATGAAGAGCAGCATATGGGCGGCAGCGCAGCTGCAGCAGCCCCTGGGAGGAGACGGCAGCATGTGCTTCCTCGGGGCTGCAAGACTGCGGGCAATCGATGCTGAGGGGGTTCCTCAGTGCCCGCAGGCACGGCAGCGCGGGTGGGAGATGCTCTGGCTTGCTGAGGGCTCTCTGAAGCAGCCTGGCCTCCGGCTCGCACCAGCAACGCCGCTGACCCCTGTTTGGTGCCCGCTCCCTGGCTGGGCTGGGCGAGGTGCCTGCAGGGCATAGCCCTGGGGTGGGTGCCGGTCGGTTCCTGGCCCATTTGCATCTGTGGTTGGGGGGAGTGAACGAGCGCTGTGGCCCTGGGCAGGGTCGGCACGCGGGGGGCTGCCTGCGTGCCGGCCCTGGGCTGGGGCATGGCCGGAGGTCCTGGCACTGGCAGAGGTTGTAGCCAGGGAGGCAAATGCTGTGCGTGTGCTGAGGCGATGCCGTGGAGCAGCCCTGGTGTGAATGCGTAACAGCAAAGGGCAGGATTGTGCCCAGGGGCCTGGCTTTGCCTTGCCTGCCCCTGTGGGTCGGGGCACCCAGCTGTGTTCCACTGGGGACCAGGGGGGCTCCCAGGGCTGAGCTGCTACCTGGACACTGCCTGACGTGAGCAGTGTGTTCACGGAGCCGTCTGCTTGTCTTCAAACAAGAGCACTGGGGTTCAGGAGAGGGAAACCCAAAACTCCATCCTTGAGACGCCTGCTCTGTTTGCCGAGGAAATAGGAGTTGGAAGCAGCTCTGCTCCAGCGCTTTCCCTAACCCCGACGCTGCCCCTGTGCTGATTCATTGATTTGGACGGGTTATATACTGGGAGGGGAAGCATGAACCACACTCGACTCCGTTGCCAGCACGGAGCTGTGCTCGCTCGGCGCTCGCGGCTGCAGGACACTGGGGTAAGTCTCCTCTCCACTATGGCCCCTGCAAGCCCAGCCCTGGGCCCAGGGGAGTCCCGGGGCAGCTCCGAGGGGTGGTGGTGTGGCAGCGGGGTGTGCACATTCAGCATCTTTTGATTTGGTGGAGGTGTTTGTCTTGCAAGGGTTCTCCAACTAACTGAGCCTGCTTAGGCATTGTGGGAGCTGCAATACTTACATAGGCAACATATCTTAAATAATAATCCATAAAGAAAATCAAGGGGGGTAATGTAACATTTAGGGGGGCTGGGGTTAGGAGCAGTGGGATGCTGAGGGGCTGAGCAGTAGGGAATATTCAGCCCCCTGGTCTGTGAGCTTTTTGTCCCTAGAAGAAAAGAGATAAATTGTTTTCAGCTGCCTTTCCTTGAAGGGTGCTCCAGCTTGGATGCTCTCTGAGCTGCCTTACCAGGGAGTGACATGAGCAGGGCTTTTGATGTGCAGAGCATTTGGGAAGTTTATAAATGGCTTGCTATAAACAAAGCTGTTCTTGGATGCAGATTGCTTCCATATGGAAAACATAAACTGCGCTGGCTTTGTGGAGGGTTCCTCCCTCCTCGCCATAGAGCAAGCATTCTCCCTGAAGGGAGCCTGGGCAGAGGGCAGGGTCTGTGTCCCCAGCACCCCGGGGTGCTGTGCCAGCCGGGATGCCGTGCCTGGACCCCTGTGCTGCCAGACTTGCCCATCTGGCTGAGCTGTGCTCTGGGACGGGAGAGCCGCAGGTTTTTCACCCTCCCTTGTGCCACTGGAAGCTGTTAGCGGGGGGCTGCTCTGTGCCAGCCTGGCACAAGGCTGCTGCTTTGATCTATGGAGCGGGGAAAGTTCCCGGACCAGAGGAGGGAGGAGAGGGTGGCCGTGGTGGCTGTACTTGTGGAGTGATGGAGGACCTGGCTGTAAAGCCCTCATTCCCCCCAGGGCTCCCCCAGGCACTACCCCTGGGACCACCCTGCACATGGGTACCTGCACTGGACACTGCGCTCTCATGGCCAAAAGTGGTTGGGGCTGAGACCTTCTGCTGGGGATGGGGTGCAGACAGGGCCACCCCCTTACCAGCCTGGGCTGGGAGCTGGCAGAGGGCCCTGCTGACCTGGGCTCCTGCAGGATCCGGAGCTAAAGCACACCCGGGCAGTGGGTGCCGGTGCTGCTCTTGGCTCCGCAACAGGGGCTCAGAGCCCTTGCTGCCAGGCAGAGCCAGGAGGGTGCTGATGGGGGGGCATCTTTCTTCCTGCCCCCACACAGCATCCCCAGGACCCGCTCGGCTGTGGGTGCCATGGGCCAGCTCCAGTGAAGATCTCGGCTGTTCACTGATGCAGCTCGCCGTATGCGCTGCAAAACAGGAAACCACCACGCTCCTGGCTGCTGGAGGAGCCGAGCGAGGGGGATGCCAGGGATGCCACTAATAGCTGTG